CCGCCCCCCCCCCCCGAAAGCCAGGCCGGCCCCACCCACCCACTACGGCGCCTCCGAAGGGCCAAGGCAGCCCGAAACGCGTTTCTCCGCAGCCGCGCCTGTGGCTATATCCGGGTCTCTGAAGAGCGCTAAGCCCCGCCCCTCGCCTGCAGTGAGGCGTTTCCCGCCTTTTCTGCAGCCGTCGTGCGAGGGGAGGGTTGCGCAGCCGGCCATGAAGTGTGTCATTGGGGGGGGTCACCTCAGAGGTACCTGCGGCCCCAGAGGAGGCGGTGTGCCTGGGGCAGAGGGGTGCATGTGGGAGAAACAGGCACCCCAGAGCGGGGCCGCCTCAGGGCGGCACACCTCAGTGGGGCTGGCGGCCGTGGGAAGGTGTGACTGGTCGCTGGCACGCTGGGGTCCCCAGCACTGCCCTCAGTGGGCTTCCCCGTGGGGGCTTTCAGAGGGTGCCAAGTGGGAGCTGCGGCCAGCTCTGCCACGGTCAAAGCAGAGCTGAGGAGCTGCTTCTTCCTTATCCCCCGGAGGAAAAAGGCATTTTTGCCAGGCAACATGCGGCCTCTGAAAATTGTTCCAATTAGAGAGCAGAGGGGTGGATTTGTGGTACTTTCAGGTGGAGAAGCCATTGCTTAGCTGGGCACCTCCCTGCGCAGGCCGTTCTCCTTCCAGAGGCCTGGCTAAACCTGCGCGCAGCGTTTCACGCGACGTGCCGCTCTGCCGGTGCCAGGCTGGGCAGAGGCAAATTTTGAGACCTGCTGCTGGTTTCTTCTGTGTTTTCTAGGGCCACATCTTTACAGATGTCCAACTGCTTACCACTTGCTCAAACTTGTTGCCATTTAAAAAAATGTAATTTCTAACTTCAGTGGTGTGTCGGCGAATTAGAATAATTTGTGTTGACATCAGGTCACGCCAGTTGCTGCAGAGGGACAGATGACATTTGAGGTGGGCCTCGTCGGAGGCAACTTTCAAAAACATCAAGGTGTTAGTGCTACTAAAAAGTAATGTTTTCCACCATGTCATTGGTTTTCTTTGAAACGTGTAGGAAATCTGTAATGTTTCCTCTTAAATTATTCTGGAGAAAATGCATTATAACTCTTTTTTAACTTAGAATGCATATCGCCCTGTTTTCTTTTCCTGCTAGTGTTTGGAAGAGCAATACATGCCATAGCACGTATTAGTGATGAATTTTGGTTTGACCCCATAGAAAAAGGTGTAAGTCAATTTGGTTTCTTGTAATTTAAAAATCTTTCTTGGAAGCATAGTATTGATGTTGTTGGATATTGTGTTGTTTTCTTACAGGTGCCCTTTGATCTGAGTTACATTCTCTCTCAGCTTCCTCCACTTTCAATATGGACAAATGCCATATTTTCTGTAATTGTAATTATGCAGATTGCATCGTGGCAGGTTCATTCCTACTCTGCCCCTAGTTTTCTTCAAGTTTTTGTTTTCCAAGCTGAATCTTGTCCAGGACATCCAGATTAATACCAAGGGTTTTATTTCTGTTGTCATGGGTCAAAAGGTTTATGTTTTGTACCCCATCAGAAGCTGCCTCTAAACAATACGGTTTTGTACCAGTATGACTCAACAGGAAGAATGCATCCGTTAATATGCCTCTGATTAATCCAACACCATTTCCAGCAGAATTAGGTTTTTCTCTAGAGGTTTTTTAGTTAAAAGTGATCAACTCTCCTTAACTTGCTGGGAGGCTGGAAAATCAGAAGTGGAGATAATGTCTTTTTATACCTGAAGAATTTTTGAGGTGCTAGTAGTGTCTTTGCTCATTTGTACGTATCACGTGGATGGGCGTATGGGAAGATTGTTTTAGAATAAACTCCAGTCCTTCAAATGCCTCAAACACAAGCTGAGCTTTAAGTGCTTAAGTAACTCACACTTCAGGGCCACTTAAATTTCCATAGATTGGATTCCTATGCCTGTATTATACCAGTGACTTCTGACCAGTAATAATGAAGGTGATAAGTTTGAACACGATTGTATGCATGATGCATCTATATTTATTTTGAGATGTACACATTGAAAGGTTTTGTGGCTTAGGTATGGTACTGAAGCACAGAGATGGCTTTTTTGTTAAAGGTTCGATATGAAATATTTTGAGTTAATAAATTATTTTACTTATATTTTCAGCTTGCCTTAAGATCAGTGAATTCTTCAAGGTCAGCATATGCATATGTCTTCTTCTCATCAATGTTTTTTCAACATTACTGCTGGACAGCTGTGTCTCAACCATGTCAGAAGGAAAAACAGTTATCCCTCCCATGTAAATTGATAATTAAGGTACATTTTAGTGGATTGTTATGCACAGCTTTGTAAGCAGCAAATTAGCCCAATTACCAGTTGAAATTATAGGGGGAAGCTCACAGAGGCATGTAGATGGCTCTAAACTCAAGCACTTCTGAGCAATTCTGCAAAAGAGAGCGTTGGTCTTTAATTATATTTAGAAGTTGTACCTCCTGAGCTGTGCCCTGCGGTTCCCAAAGTCTGCACCAGCTTAGTCTTGGGGTGAAGGAATACCACATTTCTGCCTCTGGAGCATTTCTCCTGTAGCCTTCAAAACCAGTATGAGGCAGGAGAGCTTTGACCACTTGTTTAGCAAACAGATCTGTTGGCCACGTATTGGAATAGTGGGTGAGGACGGTGAGGATCAGTATTGGCTGCCTCAGTCTCTGCTTACAAAGCAGTTTGGGGAAGCCATAAAAGCAGGAGCGTGAGGTAAACTGTACAAAACTAGGGAAATAATATTGAAAAATTGCTTGGTGAATAACCTCTGCAGTGATTTTTTGTTGGGTTTTTTTGTTTGTTTTTTTTTTTTACAGTCAGTTCTTCCTGTATTTAGATATGTAAATGTGCTGGAAAGGAATGTAGAGAAATGCAGCATTTATACAAATATTAATGATCATCACATAACTTTTCAGCTCCTCTGCAAACATGGTAGGTTACACATAAAGTGACTTTACAGAAACGGAAGCAGTTTAAAACAGCAGGGCAACACAATATTTAGTGTAATTATTAACTGAATGTTATTGATGGAAGATTATGCCAAACACTTCCAGCCTCTTCACATCGTAATTTATACTTCATGTGCATCACCTTGTTAAAATGAAGTTACAACAGGCTTTATCAGACGAACGTTCTTCAGTTCAGTAGTTAATGCATGCTATGTATTAATTATCAGCCTACTGCTTACAAATTAGAGTAAATTCTGAAAAAACACACATTATGGAAAGGGAGGGAAATCCTGTTTTGGCAGGTGTTTGAACTAGAGGATTTACTGGGTCTTCCCACTTGTAATACTTGGAGTTCTTCAACATGGTGACAGCTCTGACATCCTCAGTCCAGCAGAACACCAAGTATATCCATCGGCATTAGTCTTTGCAAAACTCATAAAGAACCATCATCTATCAACGCAGCTTGCTGAGCTGTGCTGCGTAATAGACACTGGTTTATATTATTAAAAATCTAGCTTGTATTACTAATAATGAGAGAATATATTGAATTAAGTCTCAAGACAATTAAGCTCACTTAGCTTGTGCTTATCTAGAACTACAAAGAGATCTGTAGGCTTTGCCTTTTTGTATTCCACCACCATTTATATTATACCAGTTAAATATTGAAGCCTTTTTTTCCCCTGCTTTTGTTAAACTTGTTGCTGTTCACTTATTTCTTGTGGATTCTTAAAAAACTCAGATGCTGGAGGGGCATGACTAATAGGATGAAGGAAGTCTTAGATGGAAGGTTAATTCAGTTTTCTATTTGTGGGTGAGTTATTTCCATATAGCCAGAGTAACTCGCTTGGTTGCTTTCTCTGTTGACATTTCCTAAAAGAACAAATAATACTGAAAAAACATTTGAAATTACAGACTCAGCATTGAGTTTTGTTCATATCCTTTATACTTAGGTGTTGTAAAAACATATAATCTGACATTTCAAGAATGTGATCCGTTGCAGGCTGTTTTTGCAAAGCACATGTGTCCAAACATACTTAAAGTCCACTCCAGGTAATGAAAACAAAAATATTTTTTCTGAAAAAAAAAATCATACAGGAGACAATACTGCTCTCATAGTCATTAACGTAATCAAAATCTGATTCGGGCATAGTCAAAAATGGCAAATTCCTAAATCCTGTATCCTAGTGCTTGATTTTTCACACTACAACTTAAGAAATTGGGATCATTCTGCCATTAATCGTACTCAGTCGAACCTTGAGAAGCGTGTAATGTATAATTTGAATTCACACCTTTGAGCAACTTCCACCTATGACAAATAAAGTAGCGCTTTAGTTTTATAGGCAAAGAATCCAGTGGTAAAAGTGCAATTTTTTTTAATGCAATAAGGGAAAGTTCTGCTTTGAAAAGCAGCTCCTGGAAGAACCCAAGATTTGGCACATCATTGCAAGCAAAGGCAAAGAACAGTTAGACTGTGCTTTTCCTGACAGCATTTCTATTAAAAGTGTTTCTTGTGCACAGGAGCTCTTGTCACGTAATCAACTGTTAAAGCATTGAACGTGTATAAAGATACCTCTGTATAGATAGTATGGATTGTGTTTATAAAAAGATGATGCAACTTTTAAAACTGCAAGCTTTTGAATAAAGAGCATAAGACGCCGAGGTTTGCTCAAAATTGTGATATATGCATACAGAAAGGTAGCAGCAATATATATATATAGGTAAGACTGATTTGGCAGCATACACAGGTGTTAAATATAAACAAATCTGCTTTTGTAATTACTCGTTGTATTTTTAGATTTCTTATGTACCTATTGCTATATAAATCAATTAAAAAGATACAGCACGCTTTTAAGGGGTGCACATTTCAAAGGCAGTTTTTCCAACAGTATTGCCAAGTAACAATTTTAATTTCTAATGTGAGTAACAAATGCTAGCTAGTTATTTGTGGCATGTAAAATTATTTTTATAGGCTGCTGGCTGATATAATGATACACTTTCCGACCAGTCAAGAAGAAGTAACCTTATCAGTTACTCCAATGAAAGTTTGTTTCAAGAGTTACACTGAGGAAGACACTGGTAAGGAAATTCAAAATATGAAACAATATTGGGACTTTAAAACAGGTGAACTAAAGGAGTAATAACTGTGGCAACATAAACAGAGAATGCGTTTTATGGCCGAATGAGATTTTTAAGAGAGGGAACATATGGGGAGAGATTTTAAGTCATACTGCCACCCTCTGGTTTCGATATATTTTCAGAAAGTATGTTTTTAATAACATTTTCCTGGTATCGGTGGCAGGTATCAGACTGAGCAACCAATTGAAATAAATTATGCCGCTTGCTGTAGGCTGGAACAGAGGTAATTACTGTGCTGCAAGAGCAGAAGCACGGCAACAGACAGGAAAAAGGAGATAATTTTATGTTTTAAAAAGAACTATTTAAATCTGAATACCATAATTATAGAATTGATATCATTAGGGAGTATATTTTAGCGTAAGGGCAATGCAGTGTGTTAGCTGGCCTAACACCGGTACGCTGCGCGCTGCCATTTTCAGATCTCCGTCAGGGATGGAGAACAATCTAGATTCTTG